GGATAGAAGAATCAATATTGTGAAAATAGCCATACTGCTCAAAGTAATTTATAGATTCAAAGCTATTCCCATTAAACTACCACTGACATTCTTCACAGAATTAGAAAAAACTATTTTAAAATTCATATGAAACCAAAAAAAGAGCCCACATAGCCAAGACAATCCTAAGCAAAAAGAACAAAGCTGGAGGCATCACCCTACCCAACTTCAAACTATACTACAAGACTACAGTAACCAAAACGGCATGGTACTGGTACAAGAACAGACACATAGACCAATGGAACAGAATAGAGAACTCAGAAATAGGCCATACACCTACAACCATCTGATCTTTGACAAACATGACAAAAACAAGCAATGGGGAAAAGATTCCCTATTTATTAAATGGTGCTGGAAGAACTGGCTAGCCATGAGCAAAAAATTAGAAACTGGACTCCTTCATTACACCTTATACAAAAATTAACTCAAGTTGGATTAAAGACTTAAATGTAAAACCTGAAGCTATAAAACCCCTAGAAGAAAACCTAGGAAATACTATTCAGGACATAGGCACAGGAAAAGACTACATGACAAAAACACTGAATGCAATGGCAATAAAAGCAAAAATTGACAAATGGGATCAAATTAAACTAAAGAGTTTCTGCACAGCAAAAGAAGGGCTCTCATCAGATTGAATAGACAACCTACAGAATGAGAAGACATAATTGCAATTTATTTATCTGACAAAGGTTTAGTATCTAGAGTCTGTAACGAACTTAAACAAACTTACAAGAAGAAAACCCACTAAAAAGTGTGCAAAGGACATGAACAGACACTTCTTAAAAGAAGACATTCACGTGGCCAACAAACATATGAAAAGAAGCTCAACATCACTGCTTGTTAGAGAAATGTAAATCAAAACCACAATGAGATAGTATTTCATGCCAGTCAGAATGGCAATTATTAAAACGCCAAGAAAAAAGAGATGCTCGTCAGATTGTAGAGAAAAAGGGATGCTTTTACACCATTGGTGGGAATGTAAATTAGTTCAACCCTTGTGGAAGACAGTGTGGTGGTTCCTCAAGATTTAGAAGCAGGAATACCATTTGACCCAGCAATCCCATTACTGGGTATCTACCCAAAGGAATATAAGTCATTCTATTATAAAGACACATGCATGCAGCCTGGGCACTGTGGCTCATGCCTGTAATCCCAGCACTTTGGGAGGCCAAGGTGAGTGAATCACAAGATCAGGAGTTTGAGATCAGCCTGGTCAACATAGTGAAACCCCGTTTCTACTAACAATACAAAAATTAGCCCGGCATGGTGGTAGACACCTGTAGTCCCAGCTACTCAGGAGGCTGAGGCAGGAGAATCACTTGAAACTAGGAAGCGGAGGTTGTGATGAGCCAAGATATGGCCGCAGTGAGATTCCATCTCAAAAAAACAAACAAACAAAAAACACATGTATGCACATGTTCATTGCAGTACTAGTCACAATAGTAATGACATAGAGTAAAACCAAATGCCCACCAATGATAGACTGGATAAAGAAAATGTGGTATGTATACACCATGGACTATGCAGCCATAAAATGGAATAAGATCATGTCGTTTGCAGGGACATGGATGAAGCTGGAAGCCTTATCCTCAGCAAACTAACACAGGAACAGAAATCCAAATACCACATGTTCTCACTGACAAGTAGGAGCTGAATGATGAAAACACATGGACACGTAGTGGGGGAACAACACACACTGGGGCCTGTTGGGGCTGGGATTGGGGCAAGGAAGAGCATCAGAGAGAATAACTAATGGATGCTGGGCTTAATACCTAGGTTATGGGTTGTTCTGTACAGCAAACCACCATGGCACATGTTTACCTATATAACAAACCTGCGTTTCCTACACATGTACCCCGGAACTTAAAAGTTGAAGAAAAAAAAAAAGTTCACCTTGTCTGTTACAGATAATTCTTTTAAAATACCAAGGATAGCCGGGCACGATGGCTCATGCCTGTAATCCCAGTACTTTGGAAGGCCACGATGGGTGGATCACCTGAGGTCAGGAGTTTGAGGCCAGACTGGCCAACATAGTGAAACCCTGTCTCTATTAAAAATACAAAATACTAGCCAGGCGTGGTGGCAGGTGCCTGTAATCCCAGCTACTCAGGAGGCTGAGGCAGGAGAATTGCTTGAACCAGGGAGGTAGGGGTTGTAGTGAGCTGAGATCATGCCATTGCACTTCAGCCTGGATGAAGAGTGAAACTCCATCTCAAAAATTAAAAAAATAAATAAAAATAAAATATCAAGGACAGAGCACAATATTAAAAGTAAGAGGTTCCTAAGATTTGTAGAACAGCAGTGATGATATAGTGTAATATTTATTTATTTATTACATATTTGGTAACCTGTATGTATCTCCAAATGATCTCCAAATCATCACTTAGCTATGCTATTTCTGGAGTAAGTCTTGTAAAACAGAGAAATTTCTATCATAGGTGCTAATTTTAATATTAACTTGTTAAACAGGAAAAATATTAAATATAAGATATTCTAAGAAAATCAGAGAGAGAGAAGAGAAACTTTTCACTCCTAAGAAAAGACAAAGATAAAAATCTTTAAATTTGTCTAGCTGAATTGAGTGAAAAACTTGATGTCTAAACTAGAGCTGAGTGTGGCAAATTGCAAACCAAAGGGACTGATTATTGCCTCCAGAGACATTGTGCCTGCAATTCTGTATAAATTTTTCTAGATGCTATAGTGTGTCTGACGTATGTAAATAGCTGAGTATTTTTTTCTAGCGTTAATAATTGAAGAATTGTAAGCTGAAATCATACAAGCTATAAAGTTGTCTATAAAGTACATTTAGTATTAAAACAATAGTATAAACATGAAGCTAATTAGACCTGAAAGCAAGTGTGATTTCAAGGAGTAAAATACTATCCACAGTGAGAACAAAGAATAGCAAGGTGTTTTAACATCTTCCTCAGCTGTTTTCCCTGGGATTGGTGGATTCTCACCTGGCTTCACCTTGGCCTGCTTCCTTCCTGTCACACCCTGAAGTTCTTTGCACAAACTTCTTTCAGGATGTGCCAGCTCTCCTTGCTGCTGCTTTGAAGGCTTGACAGCCAAACAGCAAGTAATTCCCTTTAAACTGAAGATTTTTGGCTGCTATCTTTGGCTTTCTTTTATTGGTAGCCTAATTTAACTCTTTTTTTTGTTTGTTTTTTGAGACAAAATTTTACTCTTATCACCCAGGCTGGAGTGCAATGACACAATCTCGGCTCACTGCAACCTCCGCCTCCTGGGTTCAAGCAATTCTTATGCCTCGGCTTCCTGAGTAGCTGGGATTACAGGTGCCAGCCACCACACTCAGCTAATTTTTGTATTTTTAGTAGAAATGAGGTTTTGCTGTGTTGGCTGGTTTTGAACTCCTGACTTCAGGTGAGCCGCCCACTTTAGCTTCCCAAAGTTCTGGGATTACAGATGTGAGCCACTGTGCCCGGCCATAATTTAACTCTTTTTACTAAAATAGTCATATGATCAGAGTCCGTTTCCATGTGTTTCTCCAATGGTACTTTTTTCTTTTCTATTTTTTGAGATGGAGTCTCACTCTGTGGCCCAGGCTGGAGTCCAATGGTGCCATCTTGGCTCACTACAACCTCTGCCCTCCAGGTTCAAGTGATTCTCCTGCCTTAGCCTCCTGTGTAGCTGGGACTATAGGCACGCACCACTACACCCAGCTAATTTGTACTTTCGAACTGATATTAAACTCATGTGGCAATCATGTAGCCTGAAATTGTCCTCCTTCTTTTTGCTTCTACCATGTATGCACATGTCCTTCACTCTAGAAAACTCTTTCAAACAATAAGTTGGGTTGTTTCCTGTTTTGCTTTTGGTTTCTGCCATACCTGGGGGCTGGTGGCGAAGACATTAAAAGAGACAACCCTTCCCTGTTATATTGAACAGGTTTTCTCTATTTTAGCAGAGCAGCACTATCATGCTGAGCTGACGCTGAGCTGGCAGTCTCCTACCTGGCAGTGAACAGAGCTCTGGCTTAATTTTTTTTTTCTTTGTAGTAGCTATTGTTTTTGTTGTAGCATATGACAAGCATGAACCAACTTACTTAACCAGTCTGGGCCTCGGTTTTCCCATTA